TGATTCTGGGTCTAGAGATAAGAGAAGAATGCAGGGCTTATTGTCTCCCCAGGCTCTTCCCCTGGCCTTGTATTTAGTCACCAGTGCGGTGATCAGGAGGGTGAGCAGGAAATGGGTCCAGCACATGGTGCAGGAGTCCCGAGTCCTGCCTTCTAGTCCCACAGAGGATGCAGAGCTTCCTCCAAAATCTCTGCCTTCCCCTCTTTATGCTCTGAGATAGGGAGGGGCCATTCATGTAAACGAGACCCCACCCCAGCTTGATGGTCCCACCTGGCCCTGGGTCAGGTCGCAGCCTGAGGATGGCCTGGTGGGAGGAATGGGGCTGTGTCAGCCCTGGGATGGGAGGTCCCAGGTATGAGTCCTGAGCAGAGGGCAGCAGGCAGGGTGAGGTGGAGGCTCTAAGCTCTGATCCCCCCTATACCTCTCATAAGCTGGACCTGGGCACCCCATAGTGTCCAAACATGGCCAAAGCATCCTTTATGACATGATGACCGAAGTCCCTCAGAGACTGTCCTTCCTCTCCACTGCCCTGTCAACTCCCCAGGCCGAGGTGAGCCTGGCTGTGAGTCCGTTAGAATCAACCACTGAAACAGCAGTGAAGGAAAATTACGGTTCATGCGGAAGAGAGTCTGAGGTGGTTCTGTTTTAAAATGACAACAAATTATTCATCTCTGATCTAAAATACACCATGCGTGTTATTTTGCCAAAAGAATCAAGCTTTCAAGGCTGGCAGGTGGCAGGATAGTTAAGGTGTTGGCCTCCCACAGTGCGGCCCACAGTTCAGATTCCATACCTGGTGGCTTGTTTTCATGCTCTCTCTCTGTCTCTCTGGTGAGCACATGTGCCCTATAGCAAGTTTAGATAAAGTTAGATAAATAATAATAATGATATGTAAGATTAAATAATTTTTTTTAAAGTTACATTTTTGCAAACCCCCTCCCCCAGATTTGTGCATGAGTGTGGTATGCTCCACACGGTTAACTTGTGTGTCCATGCAGTCACGTGGGCTCAGAGAAACAGGATTGTCAATATCAAGTCTTTATGAGTGTGTCCCATGGGATTGTGTTGCTGTAAGGAGCTCTGAGCACCAGCTACGCACAGGAGGCAGGTGGCGGGTTTCCAGCTGGCCGGCCACAGCGCCCCCTGCTGCCCAAGAGGCTCATTACAGGAACACTGGAGAGAGAGCTGTTCTTCCCTCTCTTGTCCCCTGCCCCCTCATCAGACAGGAGGGACTTATTCACTTTCTAGAAAGCTCCTCTACAGTCTGTAGAGACTAATCTAGCCCATTGGGTTTTTATTTTTTTAACAAGTTGAAATTCACCTACATCAAATTAACCATGGAAAATACACAATTCAGTGACATTTAGAGTGTCCCCGATGCTGTGAGCCACCATGTCTACCTAGTTCCAAACACTGTCAGTGCCCTCGAAGGAGTCATCTCATCCTCACTCTCTCTCTACACTGGGAACCAACCATCTGTTCATTTCTGGGAATTGATGTATTTTTTATATTTCATAGAAATTGACTCCTACACAAGGTGACCTTTTCTGTTTGGGTCCCCTCTATTACTTTAGCAGAATATTCTAAGAGTGATCCCTATTGTCACTGAATGGATGAGTAATGTTCAATTGCATGGATCGCTCATGCCTTGTTTATCCACTAATTTATTGATGGGCATTTGAGTTATTTATCTATTTTGACTATTCTGCTTTTAGGGACATATGTATACACATTTTTGTCTGAATATATGTTTCTACTTATTTTGGCAGTATGTAGGGGTGAAATTGCTACTTATCTGATAATTCTTTGGCAATATTTGAGTAGTTGACATTTTATTCCATATTGGGTGTAACAATTTTCATTCTCACCAGCAGTGTTTGGTATCAAGATAATTCTGGATTAATAGAATGAATAAGGAAAAATTTCCACCTCATCTTTTTTTGTGTGTGTGTGAAAATATTACAAAGAGTAGGCCCTGAGTTCTAAGTTCTTCCTTATCAAACTCTCCTCAGGACCTAAACTCAGAATGTACAGAAAGCTGAAATTATTATCTGTGTCTGAGATTTGTGTTGTTCCTGGAATTCTAAGCTAGGTGAATTCAATAGGAGGGTCTTCAAAACATGCAGTGGTTACTTTAAACACACTATGCATGGAAAATAAAAATGTTTGCTCCTAAGTAAATTCATACCTTATATTCAGTTTGGCACCAAATTCGAAGTCTTCTTGTTCCTACCCCACAAAGGGGCTGGGTTTGTTGTACGAGGCAGTGGTCTGGGCTCCTGAGATGGAGCTGTGATAATTCCCAGAAAGATCCCTGTTCTCAAGGACCACGGATCTCAGCAAGGGACCCACACAGGGAGCAGAGGCACAGAGAAGTGTCCTTGCAAGGCTGATTTTTGCGCTGACCAGTTGCTCCCTGGACATTTGGGGCCGACTCTTAGACCCTGAGAGCCCCCTTCCCTTACGAGACATGAGCCCTGACCTTCCCCATGCTCTGTCCACCTCCCCTGCGCTGCACTCTCCCTGTCTGATCAGGTGCTGGGAGCAGGTGCCCCTCCCTGCTCACCTGGGCTGTGCAGAGCCCTCCTGGGGTTCCCACCCTGTTCAGCTCACTTTGCGTCGTTCTAGAAACCGTGAGATACAGACCCCCAGACTCTCCAACACATCACGTTATCTTCAATTATCACGAGAGGTCCTTGAGTTCAAATGCTACCAACTCGCCCTTTATCATAGCTCATTCTGAGTGCCCGGCACAATTCAAAATGAGACATACCATTCCCCAAGGTGGGAAAATCAGATTCTCAAACAGGAAGCATTAACAGACTTCACAGACACTCCACTGGGGAGTGGGAACAGGTGCATGTGTACAAACGGGGAGAGATCTTCAAGCACACTCATCCACGAGATCCCTCCTGGATAATATTCTCCCCTGGATCATCTCTTCTTCAAGATTGTCTCTGTGCCTCATTCAGGGTCTCTCTGGTCCTTGGCATTGCTTCATCCCAGCTGCTTTTCTCCAACCTCCGGTCCCACCCCGTCCTGGAGCAAACACAGTTAGTTCTCCGGGTACAAAAGTGACAGGAAAGCCTTGGCCTCAGTGGCTCCTTTCTTTGAATCTCTCTATTTCCTGCCTCACATCCTTGGACTTCTCTCAGAACCAGGTATACACACCATGCTCTGGAGAAGCTCTGCCCCCATGAGGTGAGCGCCCATTTTTTAAGTTTTATTTATTTATATTTTAGTTGCCAAAGACACTTATGCTCTGCAGAGAGAGAGCAAGAGAAAAGGGGAGAGAGCACCTCTATGTGTTGTGGTCATGGGACAATTCCTTCTCCTCCATTTCCCCATTCTGTCTGGATGTGGGACAAGCGCACACGTGTGCCTAGCATGTTTTTCGTTCATTAGGGGCCAGGATCCAAACTGTAGTCAGTCACGAGGGATCCGGCTCTTTTAATCCCTAGGTGAAGAGTTGGCCCATACATGTATTTTATTATAAATAGTGTACCAGTCACCATCCAAACATAACGTTTTAAGCATCTGTGTGATTATTTCTGTAAATAAATTTAGCAATATAAACAGTAATGAAAGGACAAAACTATGGTTCCTTTTGCCATTTTTAGTTTTTAAATCAGGAATATCTATTTACATTCTCCAAAGAACTGTTTGTAAGTTCTACTAACGCTTTCTCTTTTAGCATTTAATCTTTCCATATGCAGAGAGGTGTGCATCATTCCTGAGTCAAGTCAGGTGCTCAGGGTGGGACTGCATAACCCAGGGCCCAGACTCAGAGGATGGTTGGGTCAGCACAGACTGGGCCAGGTCCCTGGATTGAATGATAGGCATGCCTGCACACACACCATGGAAGAGACACAGAGAGGGTGGGAATGTGTATTTATGGATTAAAGAGCATGCACATTTTAGTGTCAAAGGTGCTTCCCAGATATTTAAAACTTGCTTCAGGAGTGGGCATCAGAGTTGAGGAATAGTGCCCTATGTCTCTTGGAGTATCTGACTTTGAAACTGATGGGTGACCAGCTATCTAAATCCCATCCTGCCCAGTTACACTTACTCTGTACTCTTCTTCCCATGCCACCTCACTGAACTCTGTCCTCGGGAAGCCTGCTATTTCCCAGAATGCCATGGGCCAGGCCTGGTGCTATCTCTGCTCTGGCCCTGGGGAGAGGCAGGGAGCCTCCCTGGAACAAGGTGGGGTCTCAGAGAAGGGAGGAGGGCCTCTGGAGGACCCAGATGTTCTCCCTCATGGGCTTAACAGCAGATTTGTCCCTGGCTGCCTCCTGGGTGTGGCTGAGCTACAAGGTTATGGACAGGACACCAGCAAGGTCCTTTCCTGTTGTGACTCCAGATTTGTGGCACGGACTTAGGGATTATTCTTATATACTTATTATCATTTTATGAAGTACTGGTCGACAATTTTGGTATGGGGAACTTGTTTTTTTTTGGAGAGGTTTTTGCTACAGGGCGCGTACACTCCCCAGACAGACAGAGAGAGACAGAGAGACAGAAAGCGAGAAATCAGTCCCCAGAGGGTATGCCCACGCCGCAATCCCTTCTCCTCCATTCTCCTCTCGAGATCTTGGTCACGCACTACACGCGCCCAGTGTGAGTTTAAGCCACCGGGTCCGGGATCGAACCATGGTCCACTACGTGGGAGTCTGGCGACATAGCCTATGTTAACTGGTGGTCCCGGTATGGGGAACTTTATATGATAGCTGGAATAAATATATTTTAAAATCAGAAAATGAGGAACCAGCTGATGGTGTAATGATTATGCCTTGGAACTCCCACATAGTCGATCGTGGCTCAAGTCCCAGATTCAGCGAATAAAACCTCATGCCGGGTGTGTGGACATGCATGCCCAAGATTAATCTGCTCCCTCATGGGCTGAACAAGAGACTTCATCACTAACTGCCTCCTGGAAGTGCTGGGAGAAAATGTTGTTACGGGGGATTTTACAACAGCAGGAGTAAATATACCTCAAAGAAACAAAATAAGAGTCACAGTTCAGGAACAGTAGGGCCTGAGGTTTTTGTCCCACTTCCCCATCTGCCCGTGTCACTGTGGAGAGTACTGCTGTGCCCAATCATACAGTAATAGTCGGCCTCGTCCTCAGTCTGCAGCCCGGAGATGTGCAGAACTCCTGCATTGGCCGAGGTGTCCTTGGATCCAGAGAAGCGGCTGGGGACCCCGGTGCCCAATGCTGTACTTGAGTAGTGGTACAGGAGATAGCGGGGACGGCTCTCTGGCTTCTGCTGGTACCAGTATACATATTTTCCACCAACACTGATGTCATTCCTCAGGGTGCAGGAGAGTCTGACAGATGCTCCAGGAGATGCAGAGAGGGAGGGCGGCTGGGTCAGCACAGACTGGGAGAGGGAACCTGCAGACACAGACACTCATGAATGATGCGGCAGTGACCATGCTCATGGGTCAGTCTAAGGCTATGGGCTCCCCTGTGTCCCCAAGGCCCTTCCCTACCTGTGCAGTGAGAGAGGAACACGAGGAGGAGAGGAGTCCAGGCCATGGTGGACACAGCCCCTGGTCCCCACATGGCTGGGCTGCCCCAGGTCCCCTTTTCTTCCCACCCTCTGTCACAGGAGGGGCTCTTCCTGCAAATGTGTGTCCACCCAGTGACTGGCCCCCCC